TTATGACGGAGTCGCTTCTCTTTTGGATTGAGCTTTGTTGATTTTCAGGGGCGAAATTTTTATTCGTACCTTGTCATAGATTCCATCGTCATTGTCTGGGTGCTCGGGGTCATCTTACGAAATTGTTTCACTATTATTACCACCAAACAAGGTGGAAGAATGTTCTCTCGGTACCTTAATTATATTGTGGGCATCGGGCACTAGGCCGCCGTGACTGTGATAACAAGAGTTCACCCTGATCATGAAGCGCTCCGTAACACGACTAAAGACATAACCATAGCAATTAAATGTTCCGATAAAACGTACGCGCAGCTCTGTAAACGATTATTGGTGCCATACTATAACATCAGAGCCATAACCATAACCATAGGTATCTATTTCATTTTGGTTTTTCGCCATAACCATAAGCAGCTCTGAAATATATTGCTACGTTATGGCTATGGCACCTCTAATTTGGCCTTTGGTTTCTGACAAAATTATCGGGCCTTATTCCTTTCTGCCAGCATTTCAAGCACTTCGTACGCACGCATTTTGGTCTCTCCCTCTTTTTATTACAGAGAATACTTTTCGCGTCCATCTTCAGGTCGCTACATCGATTCCCTCTAGCACGCGTGCCTCCCGGCCGGTCGCAAGTTATCTCTCTATGCGGCATTTCTTCCTCTGCAGCTTCGTGACACTCCTCACCATACCGCTAGTCCTTTCAGGCTCGCTGAAATCCAACTATTTCTTCGCCGACGCGCAGTGCGGCCAAAATCTAAAAAATGCATCGAAATTGGAAAACCAGTTTCTAGATAGCATTTTTTTATAATTAAGTTTGCCAAAAGTATCCTCTAAGAAGGGGAAAACCGCTCGCATTAACGGCCTGTACCCCAAGCTGCCTCTTTATTTAGCCGTAATATGGTCTTCGCACAAGCACAACATTGTGGTAGATTCAAATGGAAAAGTTATAAACGTGCAACAGTAATTTGAGTAGAGGAAATCCAAGAAAACCAAATCGAATCTACGTCTGAAGGTTAGTACAATATGGAAAAAAAATGTTGAATATCAACACTGTAGCGGAAATTTTTTAGAAGCAGAAATATAATGGTATTTTTTTAACCGTCTTCAAAAAAAGGAGAAAGTTCTAAATTCGTGGGAATATTTTTATTTTTTATTGTTTTAATCGCCATACTGGTTCCGCTATTTTTAATTTTGCAACCCTGGCAGCAGATTCATAGTTGCGAAATCATTTCATTTTAAAGTTTCGAATTTTGGCCGCACCGTAGGACATTAGGTCATGAGCGAGAAATGTCACTCCATTGCTCGCCTATGTCGATTGGTCTGATTGCAACTTTTCTACGTAGAGCTTTCGTTGCAATGCTTGAGGTACATTTTTGTTACACAGAGGTGTGTAGTTATCTTAGCAAGATAGTGCTCGATTTTTTGCCTCGGAGTGTACATCCAAAATACCGGAAGCGTGCCTTCCTTCCATCTACCAGAATGTCATCGACTTGGCTTGTCGTTTTTTATTCGGAAACTTGTTTTGTACCGTACAAGGATATTGCTGGTGTCAGCTTAAGTGTACAGTTTAAATTAGAATTTTCTGGTAATCCAAAATTTTTACGATAAATATTTTAGCATAACAAATATATGTTTAAGGTAAAGCACAATTTTTAGTTAACAATACATAAAGGAAAGTCATAAAATAAAAATAGGTTTATGACAGTTATTCTTAAGGAAAAAGAAACCATTGTTTTGTGGAGCTTGCGGCACTCTACTGTAAACAAGCAGATACCCACACTTTTGCAAATTATTAAAGCTGAAATTTAATATCCGCATATAATCCACCACTCCACTCAGTAATCTTTGCTCGATACCTAACTCCATAAATAGAGCATTTGGCCCCTAACATAGCACGCACACACACACCTAAACTAATCTACTCGTAGATGTATGTATGCATATTTTTACATAATCCCGACATTGATAAATACAAATACAAAGGTATGTTCCTATACTCATCTACATGCATATCTATGGCCATTAGGGTGGTCCTTAAATGTGGGAAGCATATTTTTACATCAGATTTCCTAAGACTCAATCCCTTTGTCGATGCTACTATAATCGGAGATATCACGTATAAATTTTGGACCCTATAAAAACGTCTTAACCGTCTCCAATCGGGACCAAAATTTATATGTGGTATTACCGATTGAGGGGGCGAGACTAAAAAAAAACCTTGATTTGATTTTTAAGGACCCCCTAGTGGTCATATATTGGAATAAGCTTCAACCTTACCATACATTTTTATGACAATTTCTAACATTTTCGTGTATACACGGGTTCCGTAATACATATTTCCAATCAATGTTCGTTAGTTAACTATATTCCCAACATATATTCGTACAATAACAAAAAAAAGCAAGTAACAAAAAACAAAAGCAACCCAATGCCTTGCTGATAAAGATGGCCAAAAGTTCTTTACTACACATATTTATTATAATAAAGTGTATAGGAAAATGCTTAGAATTCTGTTGCAGCATACAGAATAAGTAGACAATATCAGAGTGAAAGATCTGTACAAACATTCATACATACATATAGATATATAAATAAATCAATAAACGACATCGGAAAAACGTTGTCCTTATTAGAGTTTTGAAAGTGTTTGCCAATAAGCACTACACCGCTCGCTCCAAAATAATGGCGGGTTAGCGGCAACTTTTGCTCCGCCGCCATTAGAACCGAAACAAAATCGTAGTACATAAAAGCGACACAACACTGATACCATTGTATCCCTGTACCCTTAGTTATCATACCGATGTCACTGCCATCATGCCCGTCAGTCACGTCATCAACGTTGTCTTGCTCACCGCCAACATTGACGCTAACATTCTAGTTGCCATTGTCAGCGGTGTTCCTTTGCTACTGTGCTACTCGTATCACCATTGCCCCTTCAACTGTTCTTCGCAGTCTACTGATAACAATGACAGTATCACAATGCTGCTGCCACAGTCATGGTCGCCACAGTGGAATGTGCAGAAAAGGTATGGAAAAAATTGAAATCTGTATGTGAAATTCGTTGAGTGTGTATGTCTGACTGGGAGCTTGGGTATTTCATGGAGTTAGTGTAACAATAAAGTTACAATAAAAGTGGCTCGCGGGCAAGAGGATGGTAATAGCGAACGAATAGCTTAGTGTTTCCCCTTATTTGTGCGCTAGCACAATTGATAATGAGGAAGCATAGGAAATTGATTTTCTGCTGCACTTGAAATTGTTTTCTTGCAACAAAGTTCTTTCGTACATTTTTATACCCTTCACGAGCATGAAAATGTAATATTTATAACTTTGGTCCGATTTTTGTAAGTATCTACATACTAGAAGAAGAAGAGATAGACCCATGAAAATGTTCAGAACGTCAAGCTGAGTCGATTTAACCACATCTGTCCGTCTGCCTTTTTGACTGTATGTTTTAACAAAATCTAGTCCTTCAGTATCCGACTGACATTTGGAAAAAGGGTGTGTCTTATAATATACTAGCCAATGCCCGCTTACTTCGCGACGGCTAATAAGAACTTTTGCGTGGGCCAATGCCAAAATAGCATTTAAAGTAAAAAACGGTCTTTATGATTTTCATGAAAGGTATAAAGCCTAGCACAGCACTGTCCTCACATGTTTTATTTTACGATAGGTACAATTGAAAACTAACCACAATTTGTGAGATTTTTGAGTGGGTGAATGGATAGAGCGTTGAATAGTTAGAAATGTGATAAATAAAAGCTACGGATTTAGAGCTTTAAATAGTCGTTAACAAAGAGATGCTTTAAAAGATAGTTAATATTGAAAGTTGAGTGGGAAACTTTATGGCATACAATGAATGAGCAAATTATGCGACGAATGATATTTTATTCAATTAGTCAATAAACACAAAAAAATTTTGATTGATAAATATTTGATATCTGTCGCGGAAGGAACAGCAGTTGTTCATTTTCTGAGTGTGCACTCCATTGTTACTTATATAAATAGTTAAAAAAAATACTACGAGTTATTTGGTCGTCATACTGATTCTACTAAAGGGTGAATAGCATTGCTGGAAGCAGCAGTTATTCGTTCGATTTGCAACTACTTTTTTCTCCAAAAAGTGGTTCGGTTCGGTTCAAAATGAAAAACCAGTAAAGCATTTTTCAAGTGTTCTAATATACAAATTTGCATAAAAATTTAACTCTTATAATAAAACAGCTTAATTTTTTTGTTTGATGGCAACAAACCCTAAGCCAAGATTTTGAGTGTCAATTCAAAATGCTGAGTATGCAGCCTTCTGAATTCACTTTTACGACTATATTTACAAGTTCACTCTTAACATATAACTGCGAGTAAATTAATAGTTGCAAAATTCACGATGATGTTGACAACTTATGTTTGTTTAATTCTTTTTAATAAGATTTAGTTAAAATATCTTCTCCTTATTTGGCGCTGTAACCGCCTAAGCGATTTTGGCCGAGTTCAACAAAGCACGCCAGTCGTTTCTTTTCTGTGCCAACTGGCGCCAATTGGAAATGTCAAGTGAAGCCAAGTCCTTCTCCACCTGGTCTTTCCATCTCAGTGCGGGCCTCCCTCTTCCTCTGCTGTATATATATATATGTACATCGTTCAAATTACTACGGAAGCGCAGAAACCTTTTTTTATTGGTTTTCGGCGAAAAGGACTTATATGAAAAAAAAATTTTTTTTTTAATTTGTTAAATACCACTTTTGACCTCCAAAAGTATTGAGCATACATAAGTTTGCACCTTATGTTAGAGCACAGATTGCGGGTCGAATATTTTCAACCAATCCGCCGTTGTGAGAAACTGTCATTTCATTGCCTACACTTTTAAGTAGTTTAAGTAAATATTTAAAGCCAATTTACTATGTAGTTTAAGGCAATTTATGTTACTTATAAAGGCAATTTGTGTACGCATTAAAGAACATAAATATATTATACGTATGTACGTACAACAGCCGTTATTTATCCTTACTCACCATAAACATTCAATCTCGCCGAGTGTTCAACACTGCCCATCGAATTGGTAGCAATGCATTTATATAGACCGCCATCGTCGGGACGCACATGCGATATATTCAAGTGACTGATCACGTCGCCAGACATATCGACAAACTGGCCGATGGCAAAACGATGATGCAGCGAAACATCCATTATCGGCTGAGAGTCCAGCAGCCAGGCGAACTGCAAATGGAAAATGGATAAAATGTATAAAACAACAACAACAATAATAATCACTTAACGTAGCAGCAAGTAAATAAGTAAAAGGGTATGTGTTGTGTGTCAGTACGACAACTACAACATACATACATACATATATTTAAGTATAAGTATGTAGGTATGTTTGTTGTAAAATAAGTGGCTCAAATGCGGCGTGTGCTGTTGCACTTACTTGCGGTGGCGGCGAACCGCTGGCCGAGCACTTAAGCGATATTAATGGACCTGGCCGCACGTTTTGCTCAATAAAGGTGTAAATCAGTTCGGGCACAGTATCTGTAAGACGGCAAAAGCAAAAGGGTGTAGAGCAGTAAATTAGTTATGTAAGTATTCAAAAATATTTGCGTAATTTTGGCAACTGGTAGTTGTAGATTATTTAAAGTAGTTGAATTATATTGCGTATTTAGTTTAAGTTGCATACTTTTGTACAGCTCAGAATAGACAAACACTTACCGCCCAACTTCAATTCGGCCATGGCTTGTGCACTTGCCCTGCTATTCTGTATCAAACACTGATAGACACCGCGATCCCGACGTCCCACATTTTGCACGACCAGCGATGTTTTTGTGAGGAAGCGTATGCTGCAAATGACAATAAAAATGTTTACATAAGCGCGCGCTAGGACACACATTTCTATGTAATATGTACATATTGCTATACCACAGTCAGGATAGCTAGACCAACTTGCACTTGCTTAACCAGACCAGATCCAGATATGTACATATGTATGTAGTACATTAGACCGTACCGGAAAAAAGGTACGCCGCCTAAAGAATTTTTCCAGGCTAATTTAAAAAATAAATAATATTATTTTTTTGCCGAACGCGGAAAATTCTCAAAAATATTAAAACTTAAAAACTTTTATTTTCACATCTTTTCAGATCAACTGATTGCAAGGGGGTTCTGAAAAACTTCATATAATTTCTGTCAACGTATTTATGGGCGAATCGAAGCTGAATGATAAGCGAAGTGGATAGGTTTTCGGCGAACAATTCCCCATCAACTTGAAATTTAGGCTACCGGATTACTGTAGCATTTTCCAAGCAGAAGACAGAAGGCTTCGGATTGGTTGCTCTGTAGTGTAACACCCTGTAAAGAGGTGAATATCCATTCCGACAGCCAAGCAACTGTTAAGGCTCTTGGCTCCTTGTTGGTTTGTTCGACCGCATCGAATAATTACGCTATTAAGCTCATTTCTGGGTTCCGGGTCATAGCGAATTTGCGGGTAACTGCATGGCCAATGGCCCGGTAAGAGTAGATCTGGTTGCGTTTAGTCATCTCCGCGTGCGCTGGGCGAAAACCTTGGAACCCAAAGTAGCTAAATCCTTTTGGACACTTGCACTTAAGAATAAACAAATAGTAGTTCTAACTAGTCACTAGTCGATGATCCCTATTGCACCAGCTGGAGGATGGTGAGGTGGAATCATCTCAACACCTGGTGCTCTGGTACCCGTTGAGCTTTCGGGAGTTGTTTTAAGTCACTTGAGGAGTTTCGTGGTGAGCACGGAGCTGTTTTCTTACAAGAAGCCTTAAGTGACATCGTCCTTTTCTTTCAACTTCTCGCCCTCGATTTCTACGCTCTTCCTCACCCTTCCCAACTTTCCCCTGTCTAACTCCTACCCTTCGCTACCCACTACACAATGGACAGTATAATTAATTTTCTAAGTGAGCCTCCACTCACGTAGACAGCTTCTTAAACTAATCTAAAGTCTGTTCTTTTATAAAAAAAAATCAATTTGCTCGCGAAGAAAATCGATGGATAATAAAAAAGTTGTGAATAGTCAAATGAAAATGCGTAATCGCCAACAAATCGATGGTCCTCTGCAATATCGACGCAATTCAAAATTCAAAAAATAAAAATTGTTACTACTGTTAAGTGGCTCTTGCCTCTAATCCCTGTCTAATCCATTTCCAACCCTTGCTAATGTAAGCTGTAAGGATTGCTAAAGTAAGTTTTAAAGAGTAGACAGTAGTAACAGTTTTTATTTTTTTTTTTTTAATTTGTGTCGTTATTGCACAGGACCATCGAAATATACAAAAACAAATTCGAAATTGCTTTGCGAAGGGAGAACTTTTTTGTTTGCTTATAAATTGATACACTCTAATGTTCATCTATGTTAGTTCGTACAGAAAGGATAATAGAAATGACGCATATGCTTAGAATTTGCATAGCCATATGCACATATGTACTAAGCACATACATTTCTATATCGATGCGTTTATCTGACTGTGTTGTAGGTAACATATTGTTGGCATTGAACATTGCAAACAAACCAACTGGCTGCTGACTACCCATAGTAAATATCTTGGTGTCCCAGCACTATACATACAATTGCTGAGCAAAGTAAACACAGCTTTAAATGCACACACAAGTACTCCTACACATATGCATTTGTTTGCTGAAAAAAAACTCATTTCTCTTCACTTATGTAGATACAACTTTATGTGTATACATATATGCAGTGTGTACGCTTACGCTTGCCATTCCAGATAATTCGCCGCACAACTCTATTCTAGTCAACACTGCCAAACCATTCGTTTGGAATTTATTATTTATTTGATTAGCATAATCATAAAAAAAAATCCAGCTTGATTTGTAAATCTGGTTCCAAGTTTTTATTTGTTTTTTTTTTTTACTTTTATTTGTTCTATTATTTTTTGGGCAGGCAGCCAGCAAACATCTGTTGAGCTATCGGATGATTGCTTTGGCTATTTGAGATGAAAGTCCCAAACTTTGGGAGAGAAGCAAGAACGCGATACTTTTTTGCATGTGACTGTCAGCCCAAGCAGCCCAGTAAGGAATTTTAGAAATCACTGTCAGGCCTTTCAAACTTTTGTGTGAGTTTTAGATTTATTGGCAGTCATCAAGTGAACTTTGAACAAATTTAAAGTAGCTTTGCAACGGTTTCAGGGTCATTATCTGGTGGTGGAATGATTCCAACTTAGTCATTAATTTTTTTTTGCATGAGTTTACAAAAGCAAGTCTCTCTTCTCAGCATCAATTTAGAATTTTTCGCAATAAAACTAGTTTTAGTACTACTTTTACAACTAGTCTCTCTATACAACATAAGCTTCCACGTAACTTAGTTTGCTTATTCTTATTAACTTCAGCACGTGCGTCAATATGCAAATGTCCTAAATATACACTTCCAAAAGGCAAGCCAGCCAGTATCAAAATTATGCTAATTTTGTTTAAATCACCTGAAAATTATCATAGCCCCCCCTTTTGTCAAAATTTTTGTTGAGTTGACAATTTTTTTAGAATATGCCATAAAACTGTAAAGCGAAAAAGAATAAATTATGTTTTGAATGCATTCGGAATATGCGTGAATATATACATATATAAAGAGGCTTTCATATAAATAAATATGTATGTATGTATGAACTCATATACCACCACGAAACGTTAACGGCTTTGAACTGGAACTAACACCACCAGATATGGACAAGTAGTGCCCGATCGATCGATTCAAATATTTAAATTTTAGTAAGGAAAATCCGTTGTAATCGAATTTATGAACGAACTATTAAATCTCTTTTGCTGTTATTACTGAAGATAATGTAAATATTCAAAGGGAGCTATTTTGTCTTTTTTTTCTTAATTTTCAAAATTAAGGATGCGTGTATGATTTTGACACGGCTAATATTAATGGGATTTATATGGTAAAAACATGTTTCTTGATAAACAAATATATACCCTGCATCACGACCACTTCTTTATAGTGCTGATTTGCCTATGCCTTCAGTGTCAAAGCAGATAAATGAAGGCATGATAAGCAAAGGAACAGGTTTTATGTAAAAAGGTACTTGAAGGAAAAGAATCCCACAGTCTTGACGCTAAAAAAGGGATTTTGCTATACCTACGAGAGAAGTTAAGTTTGTCAGAGCACTCAAGGACTAGATTTGGTTACATTTGATTTAGACGCGGGGGAGTAGGTCACCTTTGATCCTAGGAATCTAAATCTGGTCCTAGTGAGGGTTTAAATGTTGTTTTCTATTCTTTCCTGTCTTCCTCCTGTAACAATTCTTACTTCTTTGCTACTAAGATGAAGGAGGGATTCGATTCTCCTTGCTTATAAATCCAAGATGGCGCACAAAGTTTTTCCGTTACCTTCCGTATATTTCCAACAATGTTGCTCATCCTTATTGATTCAGAATTGTAAGCTTTGGACTTCTGCTCCCGACATTGTGGTCAATCTTGGAGTCATCAGTATACCATATGTGGCTTTCCTAACGGGATGTAGGTCATTCGTTGTTCCAGTTCATACTGTTGGAGAAAAATGCCGCCTGGAAATTATGTGTGAATTTAGCTCTCGGAAAGCACAGGTCCACAAAGCTTATGCGCAGCTCTTCCTCTCTTTCTATTACCCTGAGAGTAGAAGGATGTGTGATATTCTTGTTTACCTTATTGTCCTCTCTAAGCTTGGCCTTGTTGTAAACTGAAGAGCCTCTTTCTTGATCACAATGTGTTGAGCAGGCAATTCAAAAATCGCCTCGCTAGCCGCGGTTGGTATTGTTCTCATCGTGCTATGTAATATCCATCTATACTAGTCGTTTTAGTTAGCTGAGCTTGACCTGAACGTTCATTTTACACCGTCCTTGTTCTACCAGACGGGCGCAACGTAAGTAAGAATGAATTTGAAAATGGCATCATTCGTCCACCTTGCCAATTTGATATCCCAATTTCTTCCCATAAATTTTCGGCAGTTGCAATGTGCGGCACTTTCTTTTCTAATAGCTTTATTTAGGTGCGAATTCCATGACAGCTTGTCAGACACTTGACCTTTTTAGAGAAGCGTATCTTTTCTGCTTTAAGGAATGGTTCCAGTAACTTATCTCGTTCCCTATTTCTGGCGAAAATGGTTGGGTTAGTCTTCTTGCGGTTTATGTTTAAACAATTTTTCCTGCACCATTTGGCGACTATGTTTAACTCACTCTGTACGAGTTTCGATATGGATCATAGTGGTTCTTAGAAACCCTCCGTGGACGTTCCTGCTTTGTGTGTATACTAACCGGTGTATAGCGGTGTTACCTTCACAATTCTATATCTGGCTTCATTGCCCATTCTTTTCTCATTTGCCTTCAACACAAAGAGGGTTTCCTTTATGGGTCTGAAATGCATTGGTAGCGAATAATTCCTTTTATAAACCTTCGGAATTAAGATTACTCGCGCCGTCCTTTTTAACTTGTAACATATGTTTCCGAAGGACTGCTCCTCATTATATCAACCAGGTACGGCATTACACTTTCTTCACTTTGAATGGCCATATGGCATTTACCCTTGGAGCCTTGTAGCGCTCAAACGAGCTCAGCGACCATCTGACTATCTGGGTGAATATACTAATTGCCAGTTTCCAGTCCGGCGGTCGTGGCTTGTCATTTCTTCTTTAGTTTTGGCTAATTAAGGAATGGATAGACCGGTAAACAAATTAAATACAAGCGGAATTCTGTCACTTACTGCCGAGAGGCGACCGGTGTAAGAAAAATGTTTTCAAATTTCAGATGTTGATCGAACCAGAGACCGAACCCATGTGGGTATTAATGTTCCTTTAGACCCAAGTTTGATTGCTTCTCCCATGAAAAAACGTATCGCAAGGAAACCAACTGGCATTTCAGCGAGAAAGTGGGCAATGCCGATAATCTTTTAAGCAACAACGTTACTGATAATTAAAATTTTCGAACTGAAAAGTGCCCCACTCGTCGCCGAAGCCGACAAAACTCTGTAGATATGAATGATGTAGCCACATCAACAGGAAATTCAAAAGTTTCAATTTCAAACTAACTAGACATATGAATATTTATGTATGTATGTATGTACTTCTTTGAATACTACATAAATAAATGTCCATTTGTCGAAATTTCAAATCCGTCATTACGTATCGAAAGCCATGCATTGATATAACCGCAAAACATTGGTATTAATTTGAGTTGGTGTATATAGCATCGGTTATTGTTATTTTTGTGGTATCATTTTTTTTCTTCGCCCACAATTGGCCATTCCGCAAACTAATCCGGCACATCGATTTGATAGCCTAACTCAAGTTCTTGACCACAAACAAATGAACGAGCCAATTAGTTTGTACACTACGATTTTTTTATTTTTTTATTTTTTATATTTGCAAGTTTTATATTCCTTTTGGTTTGCTTTTGTTTTATTTCTCCATTTGAGCTGTCCGCTGCAGCAAATAGTCATTTCTCAAAATTGAGAAAATCAAAATTGTTAATGTGCGTGTATGTTATTGTTGCACCCGGCTATTCAACTCCGCAACCACAACAAAATTTGAATATAACTTTTGCGGAAGTGAAAACCTCAAATATACGGTATGAAAAATGAATGGATAACCATTGAGAATAAATCAAAGTGCGAACATTAAACTGCAGTGCATAGTGTACACTAGATATAAACAGTTACTTCAATAGCTGTGCAAAACAAGTTGCAATAGTATGTATGTATGCATGAATGAAGGATTATACTGATGGCCCATTAATTGGCGTCGAGGATTTTAACGCTTTACGGTTCGATTATTATTATTATTTTTTTTTTTGAGTCAATTAGTGAATCGCGAATCATACTAAATAATTGGCTCAAATAGAATACCGGCTGAGATTTGTCTTAAATGTTATTTTCTACATACAATTAAAATGAGTACTATGCGTGGATTGTGTATTGCTGATTGTGAGTATGCAAAAAATAAAAAACTAGGAGTTTTTGAAAGCGGCCAAACTCTACAAAATATTTCGCCTTTCTTTGCAACGGCCTAAAAAAATGTAATATTATGTTCTTATATAGATATAAATGTACATTAGGGCTGGTCAATTTATATGGGAGATTTTTTCGACTACGACCGTATAGCGTATAAAAACCATGGAGTTTGCCAAATTGTGAAAATAGGTTTTTTATCAGTTTGCTGCAGAGTCGTGTTTATTGAAAAACATGCTATCCCTTTTTGGTATGGAGAATCCGTTTCTGTACTTACCCTGCAGTGAAAACCCAAACCAGTTAGAAAAAATATTAGTTCATAAACTAGTATGTGCCTACCAGTTCGACATTTTCTGCCTTTGATCTGCCAAAGCCTAAAATAAAACGCAATTAATTGCTTTTCTTACAAATGTCGGCTGTGGTGTCACGTGAAGACTACTGGTTCTGGTTCTGGGATCGCAGGTTCGGGGCCGCTTGGAGGTGGTTTAGATTTTGAAAGTTAGATCAATGTAAGTAGGAATAATTATTTCAATTTAAATATAAATAACAAACTTAAAAATCGAGTTGCATTACAAAAAAAAAAAGAAACAAATATATGAGAAAAATACTTGTGCCATAAAAAATAGATAACAAAAAATATTTTTTTTTCTTTTAATTAAATTTAAGAATAACAAAGAAACCCTAAATCAAAAATATAAATAAAAGAAATAAAAAAAATAAATAAAATAAAAAAATTTTCCCTGCGCCCGGGCTTGAACCTGGTACCTCAGGCATACCACGCGAGTGCTTTGCTCTGTCGGCCATTGCGACTGTTGGAGCGCCGCGAGCAAAAATGCATACTAATGCTTTTCATAGGGGATGAATTGGCAAACTATCTCATCAACTAGTATGATGTTACTAGTATTTCTACTAGTAGATGCTGATGCATAGCCTGACAATTGACATCTCGTAGGACATCGCAATGTTAAAAATACCAGTCGCTAACATTGAAAAAGGATAGAATGTGAACTAGTTGGGCTAAAACGCAAACTGGTAAAATTCTAGTTCACAACTAGTAGCCTTCCGTGCAGGGTAGTTATTATTAGGCGATTCACTTACATACATATATAAAAAGGGTAGACTAGAAATTAAACACTGATTTCAGTTCATTATATTGTATTAATATTCGGGACCAGTACACGAATTTTTTATAGCCATATGAGGACTATTTCAGGATCATTTCGTTACGAGTTTTGAACTATCCCGAAATGATTCCGAACCGTGCGGAAAATGCTATTGAACTAGATGTCAAATAAAGCAGAATCCTCCTGGAATAGGCCCGAACTAGTCTCAAATGAATATGTCCCGAAGCGATACCTAATTAGTTCCGAAATGGTACAGGACTGCCCCCGAAACGGTCGAAAAAGTCGCAAGCAGAAGAAAAAATCGAATGATATTTTTTGCACTAATTCGGTCTAAAACCTAAACACGTTGTTCCATTGTCTGCATAATTTGTAAATCTCTGCAATTTTTATTCATAAAGGGAACGATGGCATATTTGGTACCTGATAACAACCTTAATCAAAACAAGGTGTTTTTTTTTTTGATTTTCAGCACTAAATGTGAATATAATCCCTGTCCTCGCATGCAAACACACACACACAAAGTTGTGTCAAAAGCGTATTTTGTGCGATATACATACATACATATGTGTGTATTCACTTACTTTTCCCGTCCGTTGCTAAGCGCATTATTCCCCTGCAACGGCATACCGTTATGCAGCCACTCGACACCATCGATCGCTGAACCCGTCGTCGAACAATTGAAAATTGCCATTCCACCTGAATTGACAATTTGAACTTGCGGCAATATATGCACCGACACATACGAATTCACCAGCAGACGAATTTCAATGCGCTGTTCGCCGAATTGATTTGCAGCCTGGCAGACCTACGAAAAATTGCAAAATACATACAAGTTACAAACATAGCTATGTACATCTGAGCTTGAAATAATGGAGAAGTAGAGAAAGAACGAAAAAATGGCTTAAAAGTCGACACACGCGGCAAAATCATAACAACGACAACAACAACAATACGCATCATTTTAAATTTACGATTTAAGCGAAAGATTATTAAGACAGCCGTAAATAAGGCGTTAATAGCATTTATAAGTCAATTTCAAAAAATATATACAGTGATTCAAACAAGTGTACAGGTGTTGATTTCCCTAGATATTCAGAATATTTTTTGAGCTAATTTCTTTTTGTTATTTTTCTATAATAATATTGTCCAAGCTTTAGCCAAAACCATATACATAAATCAAAGTTTCAGGAAGAGACAATTTCAAGAATTTCAGGGTAACTTAAACAGAATTTACTTGGTTGGTTTGAAATATTCTGGCTTGCTGATCGAAGTAAGATAATTTAGGTCAAAATATATTTCAACGTTGGATTACAATTTGATTTACGGAACACAATTAAAATCACATAAAGTATAAATTCATAGCAGGGAGCAATGGGCTCCGGACGCTCCGTGACCCACGGCTTCTATTCAGTTCTACACACTGGAAAACAAGGAGTACAAAAGTCGTTTCGTTTACCGAACTATTGTAGCGTATTACAAGCCGAACTTGGGCGAATGTTTAAAAGCAGGTGCAGTCGGTCTCCAAAAGCGATAAATTCAATCACAGGTAACTCGAAACGACGCATATCATTTAATGTGATAGCCGAGATAAATGGGATTTCTTGTGGTAGCACAGGGACCTAGGGCTTAGCCTACTCCCCCAACACAACTATTAAAATTGTATTAGATTTAGAGGAGGGAGCAGGTCACCTAGCTAACGCGATCAAGAACAATCAAATTCAACGGACTGATGGAAGAAGTGAATTGCAGAACCTGCCGGATTGCGAATTTTAGTGATATTCAACGATACAAATTTAAAAGGATATTTTCTGCACCAATTAACTTATTTAATTTTACAGATTGTCTATCAAAAATACTTTTAATATTTACCCCACCAAACATTTCGTCTATTTTTGTTGGCCTGTGAAATCAATCCAATTTGAAATTTTAAAGGCTTCTTTTAAAAAAAATCCTAACGAGGAAGGAAAACTAAAAACACAGTTTTACTATAACTGGCCCATATTTTGGCAACTAAATTGATTTTTTTTTGTGTAAAATTTACTGCCGCACGGGGTAATAATTCCGAGTGACTACACGTTGCCCCAGCACTCACACGGGGTAAGTCCTTTTCCCGAGTGCGTTGAGTATTGAAATATGAAGGTTGTCTCAACCACCAGCCTTAAGATGGTAACACTTTCTACCCGCTACTTCGGACATATGTATGTAGCTCGATGAGATGCACCGCGGGCTGAAAGACTGAGTCTACACGCCCAACGCTAGTGATAATGAGACATAGAATCCTGCGCCGATGGCCTATCTTTGAACCACCACTTTAGACCAAATGGGTTTCGGCATTTCATTGTCACTGTTAGTTTAGTTGGTTATGCTTAGGGAAAAAGCCTTGAGTTTTTATGTGTGAATTTAAGCCTTATTCTTATTCTCCACATTGAGAAGAATATTTCTCTAAACAGCAAAGTCTTTTTTGGTTATGTACAGGACGAAGGTCTAAAAGATGTTCCATAGCCGTGGATGACATTATTCTTAGGTAGTCAGTGATGCCTATGAAGGATAATAATTTACTTTGCTGCGCTTGGCTTGCATGGAATTTATTTCTTTATTTTCTTCCAACACCCGGGCGCAGCAAAAGTTAGCATGGTTTTGGATATAGTATTGTGTGTGGGTCTGATGTCCTAGTTCCCTCAAACTTGCGGCTTATTATACTAAAAGAGATTTGGCAACAAACCTGCATACTCAAAATCTTTCTAAGGAATCGAATTGAAAACTGGAAAATTTTACGAAAGTTTATTGATTTTTTTTAATCTTACACAAAGATTTAAACTTGAAAGTTCTCTGGTTTTCTCTGAAGAAAAATGTAAATTTTGAAAAAAAAA